AGGTGGATGCGGATACCTGAAATGCAGAATGTGCTGTTTGTTTACATTTGGTGTGGATTTCTAGATCATAAATTGGCAAAAATTGTTTTTGATGTAACAAAAGACGATGAACCTAGTTGGAATACGTTTCTATATCCTTTTTTTGCAAAATTGCAAAAATCCGTACATTTCTATAGGTACGTATTTTGTACAAGATCATGTACGTGACATACAGACAAAACTAGATTGCCATGCATGAACAGTCGTCAAAAACAGTGAAAACATCCTACCAAATATAATAGCTAGAAAATCGACCTATTATTGTTATCATTATGATTGGTCCATTTACATAACTGACCGTTATGTGTGAAACTGGAAATTCTATGAAAGTTATCCTAATTCTAAAGCACAAAGACATAATATTACATCTATAATGCACCCTAATTTATAAGGCAACCATTTTTTCACGACTTTATTCAACATTTCAATAGAGATCACTGATATTCAGAGATCTTTGGCCCTAAGAGCCAATTTCACCAACATTAATATTTAACGGTTCCTTGGACCAATAGACCTTATCGAAATGCAATTTGATGGAAGCAGTCAAAGCCCTCTGAATATCAGTGATTTCTACCGAAATATTGAAAAAAGTCGTGAAAAAAAAAGGGTTGCCGTATAAATAAGGGTACGTTATAGATGTAATGGATGGTTCTATTTTCTATTAAAGCATAGCATTATACTGAACATAAGGATCTGGCCAGTTGGTCATCGACCAGTGCCAACAACAGAACAAAAAGAAAATACATTATAGATGTAATATTATGTCTTTGTGCTTTAGAATTAGGATAACTTTCATAGAATTTAAAATTTTTATCATTTCACAAAAGACGGTCAGTTATTTAAATGGACTAATGGAAATGAGAGAAATAATAGGTCTCTAGATCTTCTAGCTATTATATTTAGTAAAACGTTTTCACCATTTTTGACGACTGTTCATGCATGGCAATCTAGTTTTATCTGTATATTACGTACAGGATGTTGCACATAATACGGACATGTAGAAATGTACCGATCTTTGTTATTTTGCAAAAAAAAAAAGAAAGCAAAACGTATTCCAACTGGTTCATCATCTTTTGTTGGATCAAAAACAATGTTTTCCGATTTATGAAGTCCACACCAAATGTAAACAAACAACAAGTTCTGCATTTCTGGATCCTAAAACATTGAAATTTGTAAAAGTATCCGCATTCACCTATTATTCATCGCCTAGATAGTATAAGTCAGAATCAAAAATACCTATTTATGAAAACATATCTCCAAACATTGTTATATTTTCTTATTATTTCTATTATTATAACACGTCTGGGATATCAATTGCTCTGAAGTGATATGAAGTGTCGCCAAACCGGAAAGAAACGGGATCGGTAAATAGTGTCGTTGGGTTCGGTTTAAGGTAAATGCCGTCCCAAGATCAGTGGTAGATCAAGGACCTTTGAGTCATGAAAAATGTCTGATATTGAATTGGGCGCGCACACAACATATTCTTTGAGGGTATAGTTCTACATTACAACTTCTACAATGTGCATACAGGTCGCTCTTTCAAAGTACTTTGCAAGCCATTCTGGAAACTCCTTTTTCGATTCTTGCTTATGGGATTGTGAATATTTATCTGTTTTACCTCTGAACTCACCTCTCATTTTAATTAAACGTTTATTTTGAAAACAGACAGGTTTCGGTTTCTTTTCTGGTAATAAGGTAATGACGGTAATCTACCAGTCTGTACCTTTTGTATGCACAGAAATGGATTCAGAGCAAGCGGAGTAAGGGATGAGGATGTGCGTTTGTAATCATAGGCAACCCAATTCTACACCTCTCATGTGCCCGACTGCCTGAGTGTGTATGCATGTGGATGATTGATGTGGGGCATAAAACTATGAATACTGCATAAAATTAACTTTTAGCTTTATTTGCGGTTTAAGCTCTTTTTCGGCAAGTATAGAAATATTTAAATTATTTTGAAAAATGATGTTATCGGTGAATATTCTCCTTTCGGTAAAAATACCGAAAAATCCGGTTCAAGTCCATGCACAGACAATATAAAATTTGCAATATGAGTTTATATTCTAAATTCTATGCATATCCATTCATATTAGTCAATATTGCATGTGAAGCTTTTATTTGTCATAGGATTTTAGCAAAATGTAAGATAGTAAAGGCAACACCGCACGCGGCAGCCCAGTTGACAAGAACGACAAGCCGTCAAGATTAGGGATGTTTGAATCCACGAAAAGTATCGTTATATATCTATTGTTATCATTTTAGGAAGGATCGAAACTCTAAAATATTGGAATAAAATTATCGATATCCAGCGGAAGGAAACAAAGAAGAAAATTAATCTGAAGTTTGTCACTCTTTCTGACACAGTCCGGATCGAAAGATGACGATACTCGTGAAATTTATCGATACACCCAAGTGTCGTATATAAAAATATGAATCCAAAATAACGGTATCGAACATCCCTACTGTCAAGATGTATCACCCGAGTTACCGACGCAGCTATTGTGGGGCATCATAGAAATAATTATAAAACTTTATTTGCATTTTTTCAAGTGCTGTGCAACGATTTTGGGTAAAATTCCACGAATACGAGCACCTTCCCACTTCAGTTGGCCCACTTCAAGATTTGTACCAAAATATGCCTTTATAAACTAAACATGACGATACTATTTACTTCTAAAACAATTTATTTTCTCAAAAACATTTTAAATATAGTCGTAAAAACTACATATTTGAAATCACTTAGACCTATGACTAATAGAACATCTGAACACATAAACAATGAGCGAATAAATGCGTCAAGATAACAAAGCAACAATTGAAAGATTACCATTGGGTGACATCACCTTTGTTTTTATTACGGCTGAAATTCTTTGTTAACCATGTTTTAGCAAAAATTTGGTGTAAATCAATGCCATATTCATTGAAGCTTTTATCTCAGTTCGGTGATTGTACGAGCAGGATGTTGTCGTAGAACCTTTTTCATCTTGTGCCACAAAGTTTCAATAGGTGGCAGATCTGGACTGCTAGAAACCCATTTCAAAAGTGGTACATTATTTTCTTCCATCCATTTTATAGCCTTTTTTGAGGTATGGTACGCTGCACCATCTTGCTGAAACACAAACTCTTGGCCGGATGTCAAACATTCTTCCATCACTGGTAAAAGCGATTCTTCTAAAATTGCCAAATATTTGTTTGTATCCGTCAATAAAATGAAGTTTTCCTACTGCTTTTGATGACATACTGCCCCAGACCATAATGGATGCTGAAAATTTTACTTTTCTCTTCAAACAGTCAACATGGAATGCTTCATTTTTTTGGCGAATAACTCTACTGCGACTGTCATCAATACAAACTTCGAATCGGGCCTCATCACTCCATTGTATTGCACACCATTGTTGAGGTGTCCATTGTCTATGTTCTTTAGCCCATCTAAGCCGATTTTTCTTTTGTAGTGGAGTTAAGAGTGGCTTTTCTTTGGCCTATAAACAAGTTTTTACTTCACTTTTTTTATAAGAAAACTTACCTTGCAAGTGCTAAATCTCAGTTTGTGGGCCTCTCTATGAGCTCTGGACCTCGAAATTCTCCTTCCAACAGCGTCACTCCACAGATCACTTAATTGTAAATAATTGGCACGCCTGTTTTTTACGATTATTCTTCTTAATGCTCTTCGGTCGGCATTTGTGATATTACTTTTGTTCTATCGTGGCTTAATATTAACTGAACCAGTTACGTTATATCTTCTAACAATATTTCTCACACTGTACCGCGATAAGTCTAACAAAGATGCAATTTCTGAGTTTGATTTCCCAGAATTAAAAAAATTAATTATCAGTAACCTAATTTTCTCACTAATAACCTTTCCTCTACCCAGTTTGAAAAACTTAACTACCCCAAACTATTTTAAACGTATTCTGATAGCTGTGATTAATAAAAATAATTTTCATGGCTTTTATTTTTCACAGCCACCTATGCGTTAGACTTATTTTGCATTGAAATGAAAATAGGTTGATATGCTGTAATTGCAACATGTGTTATTTTTATGCTGCAAATTTGATTAGGGAGTGATAAAGTTGTGTTTTCTACTATATATTATCAAAATATTCATTGTTAATGTTCTATCTGATCAAGAACCAATGAACCAATAACAGGAAGGTATCAATATTACTTCTGCATTTTATAAAAGTGATTTTCCGTTTTTTGTTTTTAAACAGTTTTAATATGTAATATAATTTCTACAGTTCACTGGATGTAGATTGAAACAGGGATGTACGCAGATACTAAAAAACGGGTAAGAAAAACGCAAACTTTATTCAAGAAAACATTGTAGTTTGTAACCTCAAAAACTCGCAGCATACGATAAAATTTAGACACGATACCTTTGCTGTGATGCCAAGTGTACCAAAAATTCTCGGAGCTACTGAAAGAATGAATACACGACAACAAACGAAATCGAAAAAAACATACCAGAAAAAGTCAACAAATCCAACAATAGCAGCTATATCCACATACAAGTTGACAATTCTGTGGATGATAAAACTTACACCCAGGAAGAGTTGCTGTTAGATCTTAGGAATAAACTAACCTCAGAATTAGCAAAGAATGAAGATCTGCATGATCTCACTGCAAAGTTGAAAGTTACAATCGAAAAGTTAAATAACGAAGTCCTGAACAAGGATAAAACGATAGAACATCTCAAAGGAATAATTGAGAAAGTTAAAGGAAACACAGTGGTTACTAACAAAAATACACAAACAGATGCAGCTCTAACAAAGCAAACGGCCAGACAAACACACGCCAGCAAAGAGTCGAGTCATGTCCAAATTTCTAAATCATTTTCGAATAATATAAAAAGAAATGAACCACGCAAGCCTAAGTTACTAATTCTTGCAGACGAACATGAGCGAAACCCTGTCCATATTTTTCGAAACATCCTGCCACTCAGCCAAATAACAGTAGAGGCAATGCTGAGCCCAAATGCCCAGATGCATGACATAATGAAGGACGCACTAAATCTATCGTCTGATTTCACCAAGTTGGACTATATACTCATACTGGCAGGATCCAATGATGCCCATATCAGAGGTTGCATATACAGTGAGTCGCTAGGGAGAATAATTAGAAATATGGGACACACTAACACCATAGTAGCAACAGTTCTAGAGTGGAAATGCAGGCGTCCCGTACTAAATAGTATAATTCAAGGTATTAATGATCAAATACGTTATACTGCAAGGGAAAATACCGCAAACCTCTTAGATATAGACAGTGGCCTTCAACATTATCACTTCAAGAAAAACTCAAACATGTTTAATAATGCTGGTAAACACATGATATGCAACATAATAAAGGATATCATTAACTCAAAGAAAGTGAACGCCGATAAAATAAGCAAAAATCCCGCCGTTGTGAACGCGATATTGCCTCTTAAAAAAAAGTCTGCCGATGAGTGTGGTCAAGCCAATCAGGTCATACAGGAATTTCCAATGTTGCAGAGAACATCTTTAACAAGCTCTATACATCCGGGCAACAAGGAACAACATCTCCTGCCACCATTGAAACAACCGTCGACTTCAAGTAAAGCGAAAGGAACTAAGGCCGTACAGAAATCATTTTTTCATCGAACAGCCTCACAAAAATTAACACATTCAAATTAGTACATCTTAATGTATGTAGCATACAGAACAAATATGACGCTCTCGATGTTTTTGTTGATGAGACAACACCTGATGTACTATGCCTCACGGAAACATGGCTGTCGTCTGATGCAGCAGGTGTAGCTAATATTAAGGGGTATACAAATGCAGCAACTTTCTGCAGAAGCCAATATATTCATGGTGGTTGTGCTGTATTCGTGAAGCAAGGCGTGACTACCAAGGAACTTCCATATGTCAAGAAGTTTTCCGTAGAACGACACATCGAATGCTGTGGTACCATAGCAAGAACCTTTCTCGAGAGTCTTTCGGAAATTCTCGATCACGTATCAGCCACACGCGACAAGATTATTCTTTGCGGCGATCTAAACATTGACTATTCTCGCCCAACTATGAACACCATGATGCTTCAAGATATTTTAGATTCGTTCAACCTTGTAAATTACTGCAACGAACCTACACGCTACGCTATCAGCAGGAATAACACAATATCCAATACGTCAATAGACTACATGACGACAAATCTCAGTCCACAATTCATCACTTGTACAGTATTTGATCCACATATATCCGACCACACTGCCCAAATGCTCTCGATCTCCATCACATCAACGAGCGAATCCACTAAAAACATTAGCAAGTCACGTCGGATAACAACAACAATAAAAAGTGAAAACCTTGAGAACCTTGAAGCCAACCTGTCTCAAGAACACTGGCCGATAGTTGAAGATGAAGATATAGACACGGCGTTTGAAAACTTCATCAATACTTTCTTATGGCATTTTAGTACCGCGTTTCCAGAAAGAGTAGCGATTTTTAAGCAGAACTCACACACTAAGGCCTGGATAACGGAGGAAATAAGATCCTCCAGAAAAATTTGAGGGAAATACACACCCTCCTGCAAAATAACAAAGATAACTCCGAACTAAGACAACATTACCTACAAAGAAAAAGTATACACAGAAAACAACTACTAAAAAACGATATCATGAACATCTAATTGAAAATGTAGAAAATAAATCGAAGAAGGTATGGGAAATTGTAAACAAAGAACTAGGACGAAGCAGCTGTACCAATCAAATAATCTTAAATATAGAATCCGTTGGAGATCTGCGAAGCGAAGGTACATCCGACGCATTTGGTAGGTTTTTTTCTACAGTAGCAGAGAAGAAGCTCCATGTACACTTTGGAGGACAGCCCACAACAACAAGTCTGTCAACAACCTCACTAGCTCAGTCAATGTTCTACAGCGAAACTACCGACGATGAAGTGACCAATGTGAGT